GTTTACAGAGATGCTGGATGAGAAACCAATGTGAGTTTGGAAAATTGCACAATATAAATCTATTCTAGTAGACCTCAACAATGGAATTATGATCAGTGGAAATGGCCATATCATGGGACCTTTAATACAAAAATAATTGTCTTTTGTTTTAAAAACCCGTCTGAATCCAATGTTCAGATTTCAGTTTGGAAACGTGGTGCAAAATAGCAAATATTTAGTAAGCCCTGCATATTTAGACATACCACTTCAGGAAACAATAAAAGGTAATAGAAAAGTATATTTGTCTTAATGTAATTCATCGACTGGGCGTTTCATGGGCATTTCTATTCATTACAACTTGAACCCCCTGTCCCTCGTAGTGTCTCTCTTAATAGAACCAATTAACATGTCCTCCACATCCCAGCTTCCTGTAGACGTTACATTGACCTCCATGTTAAAAAAAGGCACGTATTGTATTATGACCCTTTCACTTTTGAAAGTTGTTGAGCTGTTGCTATGGTTGCCTGAATGTCGCAGAACTACATTTTATGTTCCGATTTACAACCAAGGTCGAACAATGAGAGACGAGATGACGCGTTTGCTCCCCAGAAGGCCACTCTTTGGGAAGTCTGCAGGTTTTGATACATTCCTGATTTTATTTCCCATGATTTATTTCAACAAGTACTCACAGAGTTGTGGTGTCGAGTGTTTCAAGGTTGAAGTCATCCCTCTCTTGCTTTATATGAGCGAGGAAGAGCCAGAATCATATTTTATATCACGATCCACGTGTTAGTGGGCACTGGTTTCTCTCTATTAGGCTATTGTAAAAGTAATTTCATGTTTTTGAGGGTGCAGCGCCTTACTTTGAGGATCTGTGACCTCTTGGGGGGTTCAGAGATAAAAGTGGGGGGGAATGGTGTATGAGGGAGTGTGTCAAATGAAAGTAAAGGAGGTGGAGAGGTGCTCCACTGCACGGTTTCAACCTTTACACACTCCAGAGCCACTTGCACCTGCGGCACATTGAACTTGAACTTTTTCACCAGGCTGCTGTCGACATACAGGGAGACCGCTCAAAACATGGCGTCCGACGTGCTTCACTACGACCTCGTCTGACCCCCCCCTCACTCTCTGCTGCTCTTACACACTCTTGGAATTGTTGCCGCTTGTTACGTGCACGTTTAATGCAAACATAGCGTGGGCACTTTGGATTAGCCATGCCTCACACACAGAAATGAATAAGAGTCAACCAGGAGAAGTACACAAACATATATATATTAGAATATGTCTAGGAGAAGCGCTGACAGCGAGCACTGCTATTCTATACTTAAGAGGCATTTTTCATATAATAAGCCTTTGACACGATTTATATTTGTTGTATACTCGATTCTGATTGGTCGATTGCTGACCATGAACTTCTATGTCCATGTTGCATGTCTTTTGCTCCTTGTCCTGTTATTCCTGTCATCTATTCAGTCAACTTTTAATGATAGGCATAAAACCTGAAAAACCCGTAATAGTTGTTTGTTTTGGTAATGTGGAGACCCTTTTTCGAAACCTGACAAATGAATGAAAAGCAGCATCTAGTGTTGCTTCTAAGACCGGGCTTAGTCCATAAAAAGGTGCAACTGACAGGTTTCCATAATTATAGGGAATCTGTTCTAAAGAATCTGAGAAAATATAAAAAATTTGAATCAAAAACCGTGAATCAAGAAAAAAAAAGTTAATCGTCAACAACTTACATAAATGTTCAAACCAAAAGTTTTAGCACCATATTTTTGGGATGACAACAAGATGAGGGTATAAATGTGTCACCTTTCTGCAGCAGTTCAGTGTCCCCTTTCTCCACCAGACCCACGATGATGCGGTGGACTGAAGGCATGTGGTTGTAGCGCTTCTGACATTCTATGGCTGCTTCTAGAGCTCCGGACAGGTCCTGGCTGCAGACACACACACACACACACACACACACACACACACACAACACACACACCGGAGGAGATGAGAGAGCGAGTTAGATGTCAGGTCTATCCAGTCAGTCATGTACAAGATTGTGTGGGCAGAGAAAAGAGAGTGCATCGTGGGGCGTTAAACCTGTGACCCACCATTCAAGCACTGTGACCCTGTGCAACAATACAGGCCTTTGAATTCCTGACAGCAGACTGTAGGTGATGAAGCCTTTTGGCCTCAATACATCATTCTCACACAATCAGGCGCTCTCACACCTGTCGGCGAGGGGCTGATGTCTCTCTGGACAGGCTTTTAGAGAGGAAGCAATACAGCAGACAAAAGGACTGCAGTGATCTTTACCCTCTCTGCTCCTCACAACTTCTCTCACTTCTTCTCCTCTTTTGTCCTCTCTAACCTCCTCTCATTTCCTTCTCATTTTCCCCATCTCTCTTTTTGATTCCTTCTCTTCTCCCCCTTGCCCTCTTCGTTCTGATTTCACGCTGTCAGCTCCCACTCCCCATCTGATGACCTCGCCCCCCAGCTGAGACATTTAGCAGAAATATGGCAACAACATTAGAGACCGCCCCCCCCCCGCCCCAGTACCAGCTCTCCTTGCTCAATCTATCCTTCCTTTGCCTCTCGAGCAAACAAAAGAGTGCGCAATGGGAGGATGACTGCGCCTGATGGAGTGATAACGAGAAAAGTAGAGGGACGGAGGCGCCCGAAAAAGAAGCAAGAGGAACGAGAAGCTGAGAGAAGGGGGAGGGAAGAGAGACCACTTCAATCCCCTCTATTGTGACAGCGCTGCCATCAATCTGTTGATTGGGTAATTACCATGTCAATCACACAGAGGTCAAAGCAGATAGGGCACCTAGT